TAAAAATAATTAATAAAAATTACACGACAGACATGGAAGATACATCTCGAGTGGAGCCAAGAATCTTCGTACTCTTATATTAAAATAATGATAATTAATTCAGTTAAAGAAAACGCACCGATATTGTGCTGATTAATATTTTATAATTAAACGAATAATTGCAATTACTCATTCGGCATGCCGATCCCTTAATGCGACTGCTTTATTCGTACGTCTTTCAATGGCGATTTGATAAAAATTCGCGCAAAATTAAGTGTGTGCATGTATCAATGTACTATGCCTCTCTCATTCTCTCCTTGTTATCATAGCTCACTGTTTTTTCATTGCAATTTTTGCTGTCGGTAATAGCTTAATGTAACGAACGAGTTAACAACGAATATTTTGCATAAAAGGATAATCGACTGGCTTTACGAGTTTTTTCAGTGTGTGACAGAAGTACAAAACCGCGGAGGACACAACAGCTTGGAAAAATACAAATCAGAAGAAAAGAATTTCAAATAATCTTCGATTAAACATGGATGTGTCGCTGATAATGTAAATAGAGATTTTATTTAAAATATTTAATATTATATATATTTAAATAATATTTTTTTCTTTTGACAAGTAAACTCGGAGAATATAAATTTTATTAGACAATATAAATTTGCTCATTTTCACCTAGTTTAAAATTTTAAAGTATACAAATTGATCTCGAGATTCGAGATAGTAATCGATCAATCGCAGTAATTCCTTCGATTTAACCCAACGAAAGTGACACCTTGGCGCTTGGTATGTAAGAGAGAAGTAGAGAACTGTAGGAGGAGAGAAAATAATATTTAATTCTGTGAAAATTATCTAAATTAGAAAGTAAAAGTGATACAAGAATAATGGAATAATTTCTAGATGTTATATAACCTCAAAAAAAGATTGAAGGCGCATACAAAGTTACTCCAAAAAAAGGACGTCTTTATGTAAACGTAAGCTCGATGTTATCAGAGTCCGATTGGAATGTTGGAATTTATCAAGTGGCGATTGATGGCGATTTTATCATTCGCAAAATCGCACAAAGATTGTAAACCAAATGGAACTCATAGCTCTTAGCCTCGTGTTCTCAATGTTCTTTGAATCGGGCGATTCGTTCCCGCATTCGATGTAGCTGACAGCTGTCGCGTCAGTATATATACGTCGCTCGACTAATGGGGAACGAAAAGAGTGCTCTTCGCGGTCTCGAAATCGAAGACAAGGCCGTCGAGGTGACGGACTACTGGATGCACTACGATGCTTATGTGCACGACTCGAGCCTGCAGAGACTCTCCATCTTCATCAGCGAACCATCCTTACACTTTGCAGCGACGTTTGGAAGACCGTCACCGTTGGAGCGAGCGGCAAAGGTTGACATCCATTCTGACCTTTTCATTTTTTAATATTACTTTAAGGCACATATAAGATGTTTTCCAAGGGATATAGTTGACACAGGATGTTTTTCAGCAAGGATACGGTGTAACACAGTGAATCATTACATTCTTGTTGTTTGCCAATATAGGGAAGATAAAATGATTCACTGTATAGGTGTTTTCCAGTAAGACACAGATAACACAGTGTAATACAGTGAATCATATTCTTTAACATTGGCAAATAATAAGGTTGTAATGATTTGTGTTACACTGTGTCTTTACTGGAAAACGCCTATAAGTCGAGAATGCTTTTCATTTGATGATACTACTCGATATAGAGTGCTTTCCAGCAAAAGACACAGATGACACAGTGTAACAAATCGTTACATCTTTATTGTTTGCCGATGTTTTGAAACAAGGCTGAAATGATTTACTGTGTTACACTGTGTCTTGCTGAAAAACATCTATAAAATATTTTTTAAACTATTTGGAAGCTTTCTAGCAGGGGACACATCAGTACAAAAGTCCTTCTGTTTTTACTCAATACTCAATGAGAGAAAAAGACAGAATGATTTTTTTGTTTATCTGTATTTCTTGCTGGAAAGCTTTCTTTATCTTGACAAGCCTGGAAATGAGAATGCTTTGAAATCATTTGATTTTTTTATACTATTCCTTTGTATACCGTAATACATTATGGATTATATAACATATATATGTATTGTGAAAATAAAATCATAAGAAATAAGTGGATTTAATGTATGTTTTAGAATTTTATGTTACATCGGCATCCCTGTATCCTGAAATATATTTCTTCCTGGAGCAAAGGTAGCAAATTCTTTCTTGCCACGGAAGAGGCTAGGCCACTGGTACAAGTAATCGAAAAGCAGAATATACTGCAAATATGTATTGGTTTGCACAGTATTCTACGAGCCTTAATATTCCTGCATGAGACCGCACTGGCGTCACATAATAACGTGTGCAGTAGTTCTATTTACGTCACTGCAGAGGGATATTGGAAATTGGGTGGATTGGAATGCTTGTGTAAATTCGCAGATGCATCGCCAACGTATTATCAACGAATAAAGAATTACAGATACGAGAAAGCGATATCGTCGAATGAAGATATAGCTGATTTAGTTAAAACTGCTAATCTCACTGCAATTGATTCGTACGCATTTGGAGTATTAGCAGAAGACATTTTGAAGAATTTAAAAGATACAGGTATATAAAATTCAAAAGTCATATCATAAATACTATCCTTGTTGAATACGTGCTAAAATGTATTAAATTTCAACTGATTTCAGATGAAGCACCAAACTTGCTAGAATTTAGTGAATTTTGTAAAAAGAATCTGCAAAATTCAGATGCATATTTAAGAAATAGATTATTGAACGTGCTGCAGCATTCATTTTTCACTCACGAATTTATAAGGATACATGCATTTTTGGAGGAATTACCATTAAAAACTGATGTTGAAAGGGAAGAATTTTTCACGTAAGAATCTTCAGAGAAAATATGTTAATTTATTACATAATATGTACCATAAAGATCGTATATAGAAAATTTGTAATTTTTTAGGAAATTAAGACAGCAACTACAGATGTATCCCGAGGCTGTTGTTGCTGAACAACTAGGCAGAGTGCTTCTTTCCAGGATAGTTTTGTTGGATAGCACTGCCCAAGTAAAGCTTTTACCTTTTATCTTTAAACCCAAAGGTTAGGATATATCTGTCGCATCTAACATGATCAGTTATCTTTACCATAAAATTATTTAATTTTATGCTAAAATCTTTGTTTCACGTAATAATAACCTAATAAAATGCTTAATATTTCTTGTAGATGAGAAAAACGATTTGGGGACTAGTCTGTTTACAATTTCTACTTTTAAGACTATCTTAGTACCAAGACTTCTACAAATGTTTTGTATTCGAGATGTTTCTATTCGTTTGCTGCTGCTGTCCCATTTCAGTTCGTTCGTTCACGTATTTGAAGCGGACGAATTGAAAAATCATATTCTTCCCGAATTACTCGTTGGAATAAAAGACACCAATGACGATCTCGTCTGCGCCACGTTAAGGGCACTGGCTGACATAGTGCCAATTTTGGGCGCGGCGGCAGTTATCGGTGGAAACAGGGGGAAATTATTTACGGATGGTCGGCCGAATAAGAAAATGATTCGCAACAAAAATCTCGATGATATTAGGAAAGCTTTAATGTTCACTCAAGAGATGCCTGTCTTCGTGAATGTAGACGAGAACAACGTTCATTTAGCGGAAAGACCATCGCCAGACGGTGGTGAGGATAAGAAGGAGAAGGAATTTTCATTCGCTGAGGAGGAATATACCTGGTCGGATTGGGAAACACAAGAACCAGTTGGGAATGGTCACTATGATGTAGAAGAAGCTTCCTCCAACAATGTGCAAGCGGAAATCCAAGATCCTTGCGACATGGACTCATCCTCGCCCTTGTCTGACTTACCGTCGAGCTCTGAGAAGTCAAAGTATACGAAGAAACTAGTACTTAACGATATTACTGAGCTCGATATAAAGAATTCGAAGGTAATAAAATCTCCGAAGGAAGAATTCGACTTTTTCACCGATATGGAGCCTGTGATACAGAAAACGCAGATCTTACACGTCCCGGAAGTGCATTCGCCGAAGAGCATGTTTGACGTGAAGACGTCGGGTGCCACTTTGGAAGAACATGACGTTAATGGTTGGGGGGAAGACTTGAGTGACTTGAGCATAGACGATATGTACGAACTGGCAAAACAGTGAGCGCGATAAAAAGAGAAACTATTTGAATAAAGAAGCGAACGAGCTTGTACGACAAATGATATTCTCCTAATTGTATCCATTTTTATTAACGTCCAATATATGTGATTACAATACCATTATCCAAATAAGTATTTTTAATAAATATAAAATATATGAGATAGGCTAAAGATATACAATATATTTTTCGTGTAAATTTTTTTTATTAAACCATACAGAAATATATTGTTTAGGGTATGCAAATTTATCGAACAGACGTTGCACTGATTGATTCTATGAGAATATTTGTCGCAATTGTAAATCTTTTTATGTAATTAATAGATACATATTTAAGAGTGTATTTTATCCTTATTTCTGCCAATAGAGATTAACTTTAATCTCACTTTAACTTTTTCTTTCTCTCGTTCTAGAATTAGAAAAGGATAAAATATGAATTAAACCGAGATTAAAGTTAATTTACATTCATAAAAATTATTAGGTTGTCTTTTTATTATAGACTAGAACAGTAACTTACAATAAGTTATTAATAATAAATCGGAAGTTAGAAGCTAGAAATTGACCAACCATAATCGAATGTGAAAAGAATAATTAATCGCCTATGGTTGATCAATTTCTAGCTTCTAATTTCTGATTTATTCTATAATGACCTATTGTAAAAAGTTTTTTAAAAGGAAACAATTGTGACCTGTCAAGAATATCATATGTTTGCAACATCAAGATACCCTTTTATACGTTTAAATTAATGATAAGATCACGTAACTGACAATTCGCCAATGACATTTCAGTCACTGAATTGTCATTGGTGAATTGACAGTCACGTGATCTTTTTTCATTTAATGAACGATGGCGACGAACGTATGTACGAAAAGGTACCTTTATACTCCGGAGTCGGACTTAGAATTTTGAAGTCCACCATGGACTCAAGCTGTTCAGATTTATTCAAATCGTTGATCGTTCACGATTAGACCCATTAGAAGGTTAAAGCTGGTTAGAGCGATTTTAGTCGTAGCTAGGAGGAATCTCTGCGTTCGCATAATGTGGGATGACGACGCAGACCGGGTGCTAGACGCGGAGCAATGGCGGCTGGAAGCCCAAGCGGTAATCAACGACGTGAAAAAGCACGTGCAGGACTTAAGGGTGTCCAAGCGGCTGACTAGCACGAACCAGATCATCTACCTGAACCTGATCACGCTGGAGGGTCTGCGGTTTTGCGTGGAACTGTCAGCCGCCGGCTTCGCCATCGTCGGCAATCGGCACGACGACACGTCGAACGCGGGTAACGAGCGTTTCGAGACACCTTACGGCCTCCTGAATTTCGTCAGTCCGCAGTACAGGAATTCCTTCGGGAACGCACTGTTAGATAAACTCAAGGAACTGAGCGATAAACAGTAGATCTCGAGAGATAACTGCAGAAAAAGAGCAATGTCATTGTTTTTAGATTGTTGTTTAGATTAAGAGTTAAGTTAGGTTAAGTGCGTTTGATCCTCCCAGTAAGTTCTATAATGTATTGGAGCACATTTCTTTATTTTTTCTTGTTATGCCCAGAATTTTGGTTGCGTTTTTTTTCTCTGTATTAAATTATAGAAAACTGTAGCTCGACGATCGAAAAGAAAGGCAAATAAATACTTGTCTTTTTTACTCTTTCCTGCAAACAGTATTAGCCAATCAGCAATCTCTGACAAAGAAAACAGTATAATCTTTTATTATATCAAAGTGTCATTGTTTAGAAAATTGGGACACCCCACATTTTTCAATGGCATGCTCCAGTATATTATAGATGGAACTCGTCGAATCCTCCAGAGCTGATGTAGGTTTAATTAAGTTGTGAAACTTAATTAGAAATCTCTTTGTCAAAAATGTCAAACAATTGACTTTTCTTTATGTCATGTTTGCAAATTTGGAATATTCATATTAAATTTTATTTATTTAATATTCATTCTTTTTTTATAATTTTTAATCTTTTGAAATTAATTAGTGCCTTATGTAATTAAGGACCTCTTTCATTATCTTCAGTTAATTTATGCACGTTTTTATCAATGTAGATTAACTTCAATTTCGGTTCAATTTGCTTTTTTCATCTTTTTTTAATTCTTAGAACATAGAAAAACAGAATTATAGCGACGTTTGTTTCATTCCGCCTATTTTTAGATTAGATTGTAGAATCTCGTTCTGTAAGAGATTCTGTATTGTGAAATGACAGAAGGTTTATATTTTGTTCCTGCACTAGACTTGAACTATAAGAACTTTTCTTCTCGTTCTCTTCAAATTTTAAACATATTTATTTCACTTTAAGTACAAAAAGTGTATATACTTAATTCAGCTGTAAAAAAAAACAGACCTATACATTTATAGAAAGAAAATGAGACTGGAGTTTTTGAAATGAAAATACAATGTCTGATTCACTGGAAAATTTGACTTGTGCTACCTTTATCCAAACTTCTGAAATAACTCCTGAAACTTTATAGAGTTTTAATTTCTTCGCCCATTACGTTTTTCCAATTTCATTTTCTTTTATTATGAATCAGTTTTATGATAAATTTATCATAAATTAAAATTTTATTAAAATCAAACTTTCAGTTGCGAAACATAAACAGATTATAAAGTTTCTGCTTCACTCACATGTTTATTCCAAGTGTATACTTCCATCATGATTTATTCTTAAATTTATCTTTTACATTTTTTAATTATTTCTAGCAAATATATTTGCCGTATCCTTGCACTTTTATTCCGCATTCATAAGAATCTAAGTTGCGAATACTTTCAGGACTAAATTTAAATTCTTTAAATTTCGCGACGACGTTGATATTCATCGTTCCCGGAAAGCGAGTAGGACGTTCTCTTATCATCTTCCGTGAAGCGATTTTCTAACGCTTTCGGTCTAATCAATGACTTCACAGAAGCAAAATGACGCATACGTCTTATCATATTGTGCGTTGTTCCAGCGCAATTGCGACGCGACAGCTTTATTAATTAATACTCTCCTGGGCGATGAGGAAATGAGGAATGTTACTGAAAATTAAGCTAGAACAATTATGATGCAATTCGATCGACCAACGCACAAATATCAGCTGTGGTGGTGAAAGATAAATGTCAAAATTTTGCATTCTCGAACGATTTCGCTTGCATTTCAAACAGGTCGCAATCGTATCAAGTTTATCGTTTGCATTTACAAGACAACTCTGTAATTCAAATTTCGCTTTCAACTCGTTCGGCATTCGGCACTTTAGACGGTTTATTTTCCAGGATTGAAGGATCGACATCGTTACTCGAAGCTACTTTTGTACTGATATCTGAATATGAATTTAATTCATGTGAAGGTGCAGGTGAGCATCTCAACAATTTCTGTGAAACAGGAACGTCTTTATTCTTGAAATTCTGTGTAAAGTTAACTTGTTGTTATCGTTATTATTGTGCTTTCCAACAAAAAAAAGACACACTTAAAAAAATTATTTATTTGACGTATTAAATTAATTTAGTTGTCTTTATTTCTTTTGTTAGAGAATGTATGTATTTAAGTCAAACATAATTTAATGATTTTGTCAAATGAATAATATTTTCCTCAGTGTGGCACAATGATCATTTTATCATTGTTTAATCAACAAACAACAAGGATATAATGGTTCATTGTTTTTTATTAGAAAAGCAGTCTATATTTTTCGTTCAAATTGTTATTCTTTTCTTTTTCTTTTTATTCCCCTTAATAGATTTCCCAACCCACAAAGGTGAATCACAGTTTCATGAAGTTTAAATTATTGTCATTTGGATGTCGCTGATATTAAAGGACTGATCGATGTTTTATCTCGAAACTGACTATCGCTCGAATGTCCATTCTTTGTAGTTACGTTGTATCATCTGGAATTCGCTTAAAGTGAAGTGAGATTATTTTTCTTTTAAGAAACACAATCGACACAAACGTCGTTCTGTTCTTCTTAGCATTCGATGAGTAAACAAAGATAGAACGGCATTATGTCTCCTAAAGAGAAAGCAACTAAATATATATAATTAGATCTAATAACAAGTAAAATGTCTAACATTATCTATTTTATTTTATTTCGATATAATTATATGTCGGATAGAAGGAAAGGAAAAAAGGAAAGGTACTGTGAGAAAGGAAAGAAACTCTGTCTTCTACGATAATAAGAACGTATATACAGGGTGGACCATCTGAAGTGATCCAGTCAAATATCTCGAAAACTAGTAGGGATAGAGGAAAATGTTTCGTATGAAAAGTTTAGGGTTACACGGGGGAAGTATGGTACTGACCTTGAAAAATCCTTGGAAGGTCATTTTGAAGGTCATTCAGGGGTCACGATGGTTTTTTTAAATGGAACCCCTAGTTTTTCACCATGGGATGAGAAAGCTGGTTTCAAGCCCTTTACGAAACACTGGTTGTGGTCCACAATCCGCCCACTGGGGTCCGAGTTATGGA